ACCGCCATTTAGCCTAACTTAGTGAGACATAATGTACCGCCATTTAGCCTAACTTAGTGAGACATAATGTACCGCCATTTAGCCTAACTTAGTGAGACATAATGTACCGCCATTTAGCCTAACTTAGTGAGACATAATGTACCGCCATTTAGCCTAACTTAGTGAGACATAATGTACCGCCATTTAGCCTAACTTAGTGAGACATAATGTACCGCCATTTAGCCTAACTTAGTGAGACATAATATACCGCCATTTAGCCTAACTTAGTGAGACATAATGTACCGCCATTTAGCCTAACTTAGTGAGACATAATATACCGCCATTTAGCCTAACTTAGTGAGACATAATGTACCGCCATTTAGCCTAACTTAGTGAGACATAATATACCGCCATTTAGCCTAACTTAGTGAGACATAATGTACCGCCATTTAGCCTAACTTAGTGAGACATAATATACGGCCATTTAGCCTAACTTAGTGAGACATAATGTACCGCCATTTAGCCTAACTTAGTGAGACATAATGTACCGCCATTTAGCCTTACTTAGTGAGACATAATACACCGCCATTTAGCTTAACTTAGTGAGACATAATATACCGCCATTTAGCCTAACTTTGTGATACATAATATACCGCCATTAGCCTAACTTAGTGAGACATAATGTACCGCCATTTATCTTAACTTAGCGAGACATGATATGCCGCCATTTAACCTAACTTGGTGAGACATACTGCATCGTCATTAAGCCGAACTTGGTGAGACATACTGTACCGCCATTTACCTTAACTTGGAGAGACATACTGTTCTCCGCCATTTAGCCTAACAGGGTAGTCATACTGTACAGTTGCTGAGCGATTTATTATCTGTGTTTTACTGTTTATATCCAAAGGACATTATATTGATGTTTTCTGTATATATACTACAAGCAGAAGCATCATATTGAGGTTTCACTGCTTATATACATGAAAGATTTATGTTTTTTAGAGGATTTACTGTATTCATAATTCACATGCATGCCGCCGGGTACAGTGTTCCTGATTTTTGAAACTGCTTAAGGTAATTTCTTCTCATGGGGATGGGGGCCGGATCCTGGGGGTGTAGTTATGATACACGTACTGACGTAACAAACATTGGTCAGTCTCCTCCATTGTGGTATTGGCATACTCCTGTGTCATTTTATCTGTCCAGTGTTGACGGCGGTATCTCTCAGGCCCTAGCAACCTCTTGTTAGGTCGTTGTAATAACAACTGGCTCTGGTGATGTGCTGCTTTACGTTCTATTTTTTTACTTGGAATAAGAATTTATTGAGATGAGACGTTCCAAATCAGTTTCCTCCGTTATCCGTTACTCTTTATCCGTACGTAACTGTATAAAAACAGACTGATGGGGACACTGCAATATTTCCTGTTTTCGGAGTGTCCACAGTAAATTAAATCATGGTTATATAAACGCATGGTTTCATTTTATTAGAAACCTAGGACAAGGTATTAGCCATATAAGAAGGTTTGGATCTCCGAATTTAATTGGACTTACGTACATTTTGTACATTTTGAAAAGTATGCAGGGTTACACCATCAACGTCTATGCAGAAAAAAATCGTCGTTTTTTTTTTCTTTTTTTTTAATTTTATTTTTGGTTAGGAGTATTGTTTTCTGATGTCACCAACAAAAAACAAAAGTTTGATAGTCATTATTAAATTGTTCCCCTGCTACTCGATATAACTAAAAAGATTCTTATGTAAAGAATGTTTTGCCAATTGGGTTTGAAGATATTTGTTATAGACAACGCAGTAAAACATGAAGCAGAAATCGGACCTTATTAAGATGTTATTAACGTTGTTTATTGGTTCCTTACTGCTGCTGTTTATTGCTGTTTGTATGTTGTCCTTGTGCGCAGCCTCTCGTATATTACCTTAATTGTCGTGTTTTTAGATATAAAAAATATCTTTTCCAACGGAGCAACGGTAAACCGTCTTTTGTCGTCCCCTGTCGGTTAATTGGTGCTTCGGTAATTGACGTCAGTGCTTTAACAGGTGTCTTTGTATAACGTATTGTTACCTTGATAGTGTACCCAGACACAAGCCTTAGCTGGGTTATTTGCATCGACGATTTCTATGAGAGTATGCACCACCATTTGTATAGTTAAAGATTATTCTATTCTGATACACTAGGTGCATGACAACTGTTGCGGGGTGAAATATTCACCTTTTACAGGTGAAATCCATATTTGTAAGGTTTTCATTTCAGCCAATCTGATCAAAATCATCTGTGATATGGCTCCGCTGTTCAGGCGTAGTACGAAGTTAACGGAGCCTAACATGTGATTTTAATCAGATTGTCATTTCACCCTTCACATCGAGGGTATTAAGCATGTAGTCTCTTTCAACCAGACGCTTGATCACTTGTAATTCAAGATTCGGCGTAGCTTGCTCAGACAACAAGAGTCTGGTTGAACGAGACATATTAAGCATGTTAAGGTACGCCGTAAATTATTTACGCAGACAAGACAAATTTGTCCTTTAAACTCAATGGCGAACATTTTCCATTAATCGACGAGCATACACTCCGTTATCCATATTATGTATTATTAGTGTCAGATGATTCACAGTTTACTTATACGAATAGAGACATAATTGTCGCAATAAGTCTCAAGTAGCTAGGAGTGAGCTAGTTTATGACTTTTTCCCGCGCTCTTGCATTTTGTATCAATATCTCTATAAGTGACATAAATACATACTGCACAAGTGTGTTTTTTTGTAGTTGGATTTTTTTGGCATTTTGACTCTTCAAACAGTTACAATTTTCGTCTTAGAATTGATTCAGAAGTTAATATTTATATAATCTGTATATTATCTTTAATTATTATTTGCGTGTTATCTCTTTCAAACAGATAGTTTGGATATTTTTTTTGCGTTAGAAATGGTACAACAATATCTTTATCCAATATATCTATTATCTATATATAATCTGTACCAATAAAAAGCATAGGAGATTAGTTTCTAAATACCTCTCTTGTGCTTTCATCTCTTAAGAGGTTGACCAGAGGAACATGTAACTATATATTCGTCACCACCTCCTATCATAACTCGGTAAAACATAATGTACCACCTCTATCATAACTGGGTAAAACATAATATACCACCTCCTATCATAACTGGTTAAAACATTATGTACCACCTCCTATCATAACTGGGGAAAACATAATGTACCACCTCTATCATAGCTGGGTACAACATTATGTCCCTCCTCTATCATAACAGGGTACAACATAATGTACCACCTCTATCATAACTGGTTAAAACATAATGTACCACCTCTATCATAGCTGGGTACAACATTATGTCCCTCCTCTATCATAACAGGGTACAACATAATGTACCACCTCTATCATAACTGGGTACGACATTATGTACCACCTCTATCATAACTTGGTAAAACATAATGTACCACCTCTATCATAGCTGGGTACAACATTATGTCCCTCCTCTATCATAACAGGGTACAACATAATGTACCACCTCTATCATAACTAGGTAAAACATAATGTACCACCTCCTATCATAACTGGTTAAAACATTATGTACGACCTCTATCATAACTGGGTAAAATATTATGTACCACCTCTATCATAACTGGTTAAAACATAATGTACCACCTCTATCATAACTAGGTAAAACATAATGTACCACCTCCTATCATAACTGGTTAAAACATTATGTACCACCTCCTATCATAATTGGGTAAAACATAATGTACCACCTCTATCATAGCTGGGTACAACATTATGTCCCTCCTCTATCATAACAGGGTACAACATAATGTACCCCCTCTATCATAACTGGGTACAACATTATGTCCCACCTCTATCATAACTGGGTCCAACATTATGTACCACCTCTATCATAACTTGGTAAAACATAATGTACCACCTCTATCATAACTGGGTACAACATTCTGTACCACCTCTATCATAACTGGGTAAAGCATAATGTACCACCTCTATCATAACTGGGTAAAACATTATGTCCCACCTCTATCATAACTGGGTACAACATTATGTACCACCGCTATCATAACTGGGTAAAACATTATGTACCCCCTCTAGCATAACTGGGTAAAACATTATGTACCATCTCTATCATAACTGGGTAAAACATTATGTACCCCCTCTATCATAACTGGGTACAACATTATGTACCACCTCTATCATAACAGGGTACAACATAATGTACCACCTCTATCATAACTGGGTACAACATTATGTACCGCCTCTATCATAACTGGCTACAACATTATGTATCACCTCTATCATAACTTGGTAAAACATAATGTACCACCTCCTATCATAACTGGTTAAAACATTATGTACCACCTCCTATCATAACTGGGTACAACATTCTGTACCACCTCTATCATAGCTGGGTACAACATTATGAACCACCTCTATAATAACTGGGGACAACATTATGTTCCACCTCTATCATAACTGGGTAAAACATTATGTACCACCTCTATCATAACTGGGTATCACGTTTTGTGAGCACACAATAACACTGAATGGCCTCCCATGTGTAATGAAACCTGTCACAGATGCAGGTAAATTAAATGGCCTCCCGTGTGTAATGAAACCTGTCACAGATGCAGGTAAATTAACAACATCATCACATTTTGTCGATTCACGTTGATGAATAGTATTTCACTTAATACAGTGTTAATGCTGTCGCACGTCATTTCCGGTGCCAACTTATGCAAGAATGCTTCCAGATTTGTTAGCTGGCACATGTTGCCAATTACAACCATATTGATTACTTATTAAAAGATATCCACCATTTTAATGATTTATTTCGTCCTTAGAGTCATTTCTATACGTTAATATGACGTTATGGAAATGGATATCAATAACAATGTTGACTAGGTCATAAAGGAACAATTTCCTTGTTAAACTGTCAATGCTACAGTGACAAGGCGAACTGTTTCAATGTTTCTGGTGTACGAGCTGTATTTGACTCGTAAGCAGACGAATATCAGTTGCAGACGACATCAATACGCTGACCTCCATGGACGTCGTATATGGCGGGAGTTGTGTTTTAATACGTTTCCTGGACACTACAGGTAAAACCCGAGCGTGTGTATACGGTACCAATGACAATAGGCAATGGCTGAATCGTGAACACTAATTAGGCTACTGCCTACTCCTATCCACCAGGCTAACGGATGCCGTTCCAGTCGACCATTGCGCTATCCTCGTTGTTAAGTGTACCTACTACCATGTAATGAATCTTTTCGCAGAGAAGCTGAGGGAGGGAGGTGATTAGGTAAGTTTACTGAGATAACGTTAAGGGATATGTAATGTGTTTATAATATTATGTATCATGATGCATAAGTACACAACCGTTATGACTCATTATGGCGGTATTAAATGATTGTATAAATATAAAATAGGAAATTATCGATTTCTGGTAACAATCTGTCAGCACCCAGTTATTGGGATTATATTAGGTATACACGGAAACAGCAGGTGTGGCCGATAAAATGCCATGTGTGTTATTTAAACGGGCGTATTATGGAAATTAATTTAGCTTAAGACAGAGGCTATTGACAAGCGATTTGACTTATGATAAACAATTCAGTCATCGAATGCTTTTCGTTTTCATTTTGCACTCATTTATACACTGCAAACAAGCAAACGAAAATAGTTTAATTCATATATTGCTCAAACATTATCTACATACCAAAAATAATCATTTATAGTGTGCAAATCAAATATGCATCAGGTACATGTACAATTCATGGACCCACAAGAAGATATAAGCATTCTAAGAATGATTTGAATGTCATTTAAATGAAATGCTCGCTTGACTTTTTATATCATTGAATATCTTCTTCTTTTTCGAATACATATGGAAATGCATCGTCGGGCAAAAGCTGTTTTCAAATAACAATAATTTGTTATTTATAATGCAAATTCAATCAGACAAAATATCGTAAGTAATATTGAACAGGAATTTGTGTCAATTTAATATGGATAATCTGTAAAAGACCGATTTAAGAGTGGGTCATGCACTATCTTAGCTCAATCCTGTATAATACATCTTATAAAAACTAAAAGAGTCTGAGAGATGTATAAACATATTGTAACGACTGTACTTTTGCCTACCTGCTATAGTCTGTGTANATTCTAAAACAAAACGATAAGTATTTCTCCATTTTGTGAATATGAAGACAGGTAAAACCCCATGAACCACAACGAGTCTTTTCTGCGCACATTAACGTTGTCATAGTGTTCTCTGTGACGTCAAAATGGATTAGTTTTCACCTGTTACAAATCAAAGTGCATTGATTATAACATGTATCATCATTGTATTATCATATTATTAATATTTAATTATAGTCTTTGACTGAGGTTAATACCTGGATTTATCAACTTGAGAAAAAATAAATTAACCGATGACGCAATCACGCGCCAATAAAGGTTTTTAACGGTGGACACATAATGCAATTCTAGCCAAACTCTTGTCGGGAATAATATGAAAAAAATATCAATCGTGTTAATATTGTGATATTGTACTGACCTGTTGATAATCTCTGTACGCGGTACATTTTCTATGTATTCACATCTGTTATAATCTCCGCGAGAGGTCTCACGTTACATGCATGGACCTGTCGCTATGTTTTAAGGAAACATTCCGTATTTACCTATAATCTTTTTGCTTGGTTTTGATTTTATTTTGTTAAACGTCATAATAAGAGCTAAGGGCAATTAAGGACGTACATGTACCTCCATGTTTGTGATTTATGTATCTGGCCTGGAGACAGGGTATGTTGTTGTAATTGCCTCCTTGTGATAGCACAGATCTGATGCCGACTTTATGATGAGTATTGTATATCACTGTGAGAAGCATCGTGTGTATTCACCTGTTTGTATCTCTGTGAAAAGGAAAGTGTCTTCACCTGTTTTTGTTTATGTTAAAGGTCTTCATATCAGATCAAAGTTGACTGTAAAAGAGTTGTCTGCCCTTTGGNGGTAAAGAGTGCGTCTGCAAAATTTGAAAAACGACGACAATGTATATATCAGAACTGCTAGCTTTCTGATATATATAGACATTTAAAATATGAACTTTATTTAATTTACAACAATTGTGAAACAATTTTTTACAACCTATATTAATCACTCTTGATGGCCCGGATGTTAGCGTGCAGGGGGTCTCAATGTGGGAGGAAACCGGAGTAGCCGGTAACATAGTTGCCTATTTTGGCGATGGGAAAGGGATCCGTTACATTACTGTCCTAAAAAACAATAAACAAATAAATCAAAATAAATAAATAATAACCTAGTCAACTGTGTAAACTTTTACAACGTTCGGTCGATGTGATGCTCAGTATTGCAGTGAGATAGCACTATAAAGTCGGCATCAGATCCGCGCTATATCACAAGTAGGTACGCAGACCAGCAAACCTCGTCTCCGACACACATACACACATGCATGCTTACATAACACACATGGAGAAAACGTAACTGGAGTTCCTAGTGGATTATCAGAGGCTGGTCATGATTTTGTTTTTTATCGAAACAGAATAAGTATGTTGTCCAAGTTCCATTGATGGTGTTATTTCAGTTTTTAAACGGAACTAGGATCTGGTTCCCAGTTCCGTTTATCTTAAACGGAACTAATGTCTGGTTCCCAGTTCCGTGTATCTTAAACGGAACTAGGAACCAACTTCAGGCTCCCTTTATGACAACCTAGTTCGTAGGTCATCTCAAAGCGGTCCACAAATTATACTCCGTGGTTATAGGGCCTTTGCAACCAACCAATATCGTTCTCAACTCCCTGGGGAGCGTACAGCCGGTGCTGCCATTTCGGCGCTCACAGCTATCATACAACAGTTCTAGCACTGTCCAACCACGTACTCATTAACAGCTGAGTAGACTGGAATAAGCGCAGTTCAAAGATACAACATAGTGTCGTGGCTCGAACCCACAACACTTCGGTCATGAGCCCGGCGTCCTACCACTAGGCTACCGTGCCTCCGGTTATCTTTTAAATATGATTTTGATACTTGTTTGCTTTTTCGTTTAAAAAAAGACGCAATCGATCGATTTGTTTGCAATTAAATTTGCCTTCGATGAATGTTTACGAAACTTATGTGCTAATTACGTACCATTTAATCTGAAAGATCGTGAAGAATTCCACAATCGAAACGGATTAACATTCACGTATTGATTTACCAGAATTATTTTTGCTGTTACGAAATCAACGTTTATTTTATTGCTGTATCCAAGGCACTTTCACCATTCATTTAAACGATTCATCATCAAATTGATTTATTTTGTGTTTTCGGAGTGACACACGAGTACCTGTGAAGGGATTATGTATAGTTCACAAGGACGCCAATGTCTAAAATGTGTTTTATTAAATCAGGAATTCATTCACACTGTCTAACCCACGTAGGACCTAGAAATAAATTGGGAATTCTAGATTGTGCATGCATACACGCAAGATCCAGGCATTCACATGCAATTTATTACCGTGAAGAATAAGAATGTCACCCTTATTCTCTTGAGAAACAACTATAGATACGTGTTTTGATCAATTTTAGATTAAAAACAAATGTTTATATCAAATGCAAGATTTGTACTTGAGATGAAATCAGGATAAACATGAAGTATATTGTACTATAACTACCCAACAGCTTTTCGAGTTTCGAGTTAATATTTTTAAGTTTCAAGTCGCTTTTTCGAGGCTCGAGTCAATATTGTCGCGTTTCGAGTCAATTTTTTTCGAGTTTCGAGTAAATTGTTCGAGTTTCGAGTCAATTTAACTCGAAACTCGGAAAACAAATCATATGGAAATCCACCATTGGTAGGTGTTTTACGTAAAAACAGACAATGGTTGAATATTAGTTATGACATTAGTTTAAACAATATTTTATTCGATTATTACATGTACAACAACAACCATACAAAAAGCATATGAAGTAGATCAGTAGAGATTTGACATTTGAAGAACAAGTAAAAAGAAACTACAAAAAGTTAATATCATTTTAAATCGAAGTGAACGATTACAGTAGCTGAATACTTGGAACGTGTAGGTATTTTTTGAGAAAAACAGTTTGATTCATATCATTATTGATTCCAAAAATCAATTGATATTTTTTCTCACTGAAGGACGCCAGTAATTGAAAGTTGGTATGTCAGAAAGATACATTCGTGAATAAACACTCGCTTTAGATAAATATGCATCTTGTTATTTCTGTCGTAATAATAACAACGTAATTATACTAATGATTCGAGGTTCTTATTCATCGCTTTATCACAACCTAGTTTGTAGATCTTCTCAATGCGGTTCACAATTAATTATCCGTGGTTATACAATATAGGGCCTTTGCAACCAGCCAATATCTTTCACAGCTCCCTGGGGAGCATACAGTCGGTGCTGCCATGTCGGCGCTCACAGCTAATTCAACTTGTCTAGCACTGCCCAACCACGTACTCATTACAACTGAGTAGAATGGCACAAGCGGAGTAAAGTATCTTGCTCAAAGATACAACACAGTGCCGTGACGTGACGCGTCATACCATTAGACCACCGTGCCACCTAAGGCGTTTATCACATTCTTACAATGTTATGATAACTATTTCGTTTACTGTATTACAGGTGTGCCTCATGTGTAGTACCAGGGCATCGTGATCAACGGGTACTCGGCTATAATGAGCACAAGTGCAGGTATGTGTTGCTGTTTTTTGAAGTCTCTAATTTTCGCGGCTTTACAAAAATGGCCGAGGTCTCAATATCTCTTTTCACGGATTTCAGGGGCAGAGGTACAGTGATCCTGCCACAAAGCGCTACAGTGAAGGTTGATAAAATCCCCCCTGTCTATTTCGAATCCAAGTAACGTCACGTCCTCACATCGATAACTCTGATAAACGAAGTATGGTTTTATTGACACTTTGTTAACCTCTCGGGGTTTTTTGGATGAGTAAAAGGGCATGTAGCTGAGGTTGTTAACGTGTCGTCTTCTGGGGACAACGGGGATGAGGTTTATCGTATTTGTACAAAAGGATGAGGCGTGTTCTTGTTTTGTGTGTTTGTATTGTTTTTTTGATGCGTTAAGACAATTCCCTGCTTATGATGTTTTTACAGAGACTTCCGAGAGTGCCACGAATCCTACGACAATTGACGCTTCTACAAGGCTAAAAAATATCCTCTACAGCGCTCTACTGATGGTCGCTGTCGCGTGCTTTTGGACGGTTGGTACTCAGTTTGCGCGGGAAACATACATTCCTGGTCAGTTCGAGGCTCCCTTTCTAGTGACGTTCATAACGACAGGTTGGCTGATACTGTTTTACCCTATATATGTGGCCGTTAAGTTTGTATACAAGAAGAGACAGACCAAGCCACTCCAGGAATTGAGGTAAGGAGGATAATTGTAAAATTACAACCAATATTTTCCTGGAATTTTCATGACAAAATTGAAGGCCCTGTGGCTAGTTCGAGGTTTATTGTACATCAAACGAATCGCGAGGCTGCATCTCGGTAAAATTGACCGACTTTGAAGTTGGGTTTCATTTTGCTCCTATTTGGTGATTTTGTATGCCCCGCCATAAAATAGGGAGGGAGGGGGGGTGGGGGGCAAATAGTGTTGCCCATGTCCGTCCCGTCCCGTCGCGTCCCGTCCCGATTCAATGTTAACACTTAGCATCTTCATTCTTTCACGGATTCGAATTTCACATGGCGGCGGGGACATTTATGTCTCACAGACATTTTCTAGTTTTTACAAGCGTAACCCTTGGGATTACCAGAATGGAATACAGTAGTTGTTATGTTTGAGCACAAAGTGTAACACAAGAAGCCGTAGCTCTATTTCCGTATTCCATTGGTTAGATATTTCCAGGGATGTTCTCTTGTTGTGTAACAACAGTTCCACCGATTTCTATTTATCAATATTAATTAAGTACATATGTTAAAAATAGCTACACATTAACAACATAAAATGAAATTTTGATGTTGCTAGAATATTAAGCATTGCGCCCGGTACTCAACAACGTATTTCAAAGTTCAAACAACAGTCTAGTAATTTATATCTTTGAGCCTATAAACTTGGTACATTGTTGGTTATAGCCAAGCGTGTCCGTTTCTAGTTCGTGTGTTCTTTCTCAAACTCGCCTCATTTTTATATCTCCTTCACAGAAGACTTATCATTTAGTGAAAGATAAGCGCGTTCGTATAGCAACACAGCAGCTGTATCCGAAGGCTCACATGTATGCCCATGCTTTAGTCGATACTTGAGAACGTAGTCCTACTTTATTACAAGTCCAGTTATTCCTACTTTAATCTATGAATTGCACGAAGAAGTCTTAGTTTATATATTTAATCAATATGGTCTAGATCTAATATTAATGACAAAACTTTAAATAAAATCAGATTACAGAGCCCAGCGAAATCGATCGCAAATGCTACAGTATCACAACATTAACTGGAGAGGAATTATTTATTTGAAGAATTTCATTGGCAAATCGGCTCATACATATAAAAATACGTCTATATTGCATGTCCTTTAGGTGATTTCGTGCTACAAAAATTTAACGTTTACGCGTAATACTCCAAAAAGGATAAGTGGTCCACGTGTCGGAATGTTATTTACGCAAAGGGCGTGAGTGTCCACGTGACGAAACTGCAAATGTTTCGCAACATTGTTTAGACTTTTTTCCTGCCGTTGACGTATAAATATTGCTTATTGAATTTTAACTGTATTACTGTGAAAATAAACGATAGATATGTGTCACAGCAATAAAAGAGGCCGAATTCGTTCAATCATCTGTACCTTGTTTTATTACCCCAAGAAGAAATAAGTGTAAGGGGGAAAAAACCTGAAAAGTACAAGATGACTGCCTTGGTAAAAAATACAAGCTACAATTTAATTAGTTATTTTCCCATAATAAATTCAACATAACAGTAACTTTGAATATATACATGGATAATTACCTTCATCGAGTATCAAGTCGTGTCAGTGTCAATATAGAGTTATATGGTCCACGTCCGGACTCCGGTGGACGTCCAGTACGTATAATGTTGAATATATGTAGCTCCGGCTGTCTCTGCGCGATTCCGCAATTGTATAGGTCCTAGTTGGTTTTATTCCAAACTCACTCTCTCAACGCACGACCTTTTCACATGTTACACCTGGACACGTACTCAAGACATCACCAAATATGGACAAACACCGACACTAGGGGACAGGTAACACACCAAATATGGACATACACGTCAAGTTACGAAGAGTAACGAACACTTATCGGACAGAACACAGACAATATACGTAGGGACTTACCCTAACAGGACAAGTGTACTAGACTAGAAACATCCCTGTGACATATGTATCAGATCTATTTGCAATCGTTTAGCATTGCCACTATATAACCCTTCCAAATTCAGTTGGCATTCATCCAGGCTATGAATGCCATGGACCGATTGTTGACGCCATCATTATTATGACGTCATATTTGTTATGTTAGATACCACTGACCCTCCCTGGGCGATGGCTGTTCTATTGATTAAACAAGCATACACGATACATACATTATTTGAACTAAATGCTAAAAAGTAATAAGTGTTATTCAATTTTCAATGAGATGAACTGATTCCAGAAATGGTAAATACAAGTATTGATCTGCTTTCAGTTGGCGTTCATAGGCAAAACTAATTCCAATTAAAAGCAGTTCAATGCTTAAATGAAGGAAAATCATTTAAGGGAATTCGGGCCAAATTAACTACTTTCTTTTTTTAACTTTTCGTTACTTTGTTTGACATGAACTCACACGTTATCTCAAATTTCGAGATACTCAAACATTTCATTTAACCAACACGAAATTTTAGACGTTATCTAAAACGTTTCCTTAGCTACCAGTATATTTAACGTGAAGGATAAATATTCATTTTTGCTTATATTCAGGCATTTTAAATGTTCATGTAAATTGTAATAAAAAATATTTTTTTTAAAACTACTAAATCCGCGTCCCATTCTAAATGTTATCATATCTTCAAATTACCATAGCGGCTTTTAAAACCGATTTTTTTTTTCAATAAAGGTGATACGGTAAGTATGTATTCTAAAGTAATTGTTTGGTTCACAGAACGAATACCTGAATCACTATCAGAGAACAGAAGTTTAATGTAGTCTTCTCGTCAATTACAGAGATTTATTAAGATTTCTTAAAAGAAAAATAATAACTACAATATTAAGATTTTCAATTTTTTCAATTTTTCACTCAGTCGTACATGTGCGAAACAAGAGGTCATACATTTTGTACATTTTAAACATGGCGAAACATTATATGATACAGTATGAAGTTGTTATAATATCAGACGTATGTGTTTTCTGAAACATTACATAAAATAAACGTAATATACACCTCCAGGTGATTGCACCATTAAAATGTATTAGTCGATACGGTATTCCGAAGTTAATTACACCGCATCATACAACTGCCTCGGCCTTCTACCCAACATCGGTAATGCTAGGGGCCAAAAAGAAGTTGGATATCAAAGTAGTCTTAAATACTGTTGTAACAGAAGGGAAGTGCATAAAAACTATGAATTTATGAGTTTAACAATTTAGAGTAATGGTTAATTTCAAATCAATTAGTAAGTTGTATATATTATTTGAACCGTGCAACTTCTCAAACGCGATCACTGCAGCCACCGACGCTACGGTAAACCTCAGGAACTACGAAATCTATCAGCAGAGGCTACAACGTTCTTTTGTGATTGATTCATCTTATTGCAGATTTGCAACTGGATTCGGCACAAGTTATACCAAGTTTAGAAGCCTTCTCCCAGAAATATTTTATACAGTGTACATGACAACATTACCAATTTTACACAAAAAGACAGAGACAGAGAGACAGAGAGACAGACAGAGAGAGAGAGAGAGACAGACAAACAGAGAGAGAGAGACAGAGACAGACAGACAGACAGACCACTTTCTATATTGACAGATGAACACAGGTGATTCAACCGTTGCTATAGTAATCGATACAGAATGCCAAAAATTAATTACACTGCATCATAAAGCTATATCGTCTACATGTTGATTTTTATTATTTTATCAGATGTCATGTACGACTTTACTACACCGACGGAGAGCAACACATCCGACAATATATCGGATTTTCGGCCTTGTTTTGTATCCTTTGGAGCCTAATACAGTACACCTACATCCGGGCGCTTGACCCGAAGCTCCTTTCACCGACTGGCGTTGCAGCCCTTTATTCCACATATCACAGTTTTGTGTATCTGCTGTCCTGGATCGTACTGTTCGATAAATTCGTAGCTATCAGGGTGAGTTTACTTCCCGTAAAAATAGAAACAATTATTTAAGCGTACATATTTTTGCGGGACTCATATTTTCACGCGTTATATATCGCGCTTAATTATGACTCCGCGGTTGAAGCTCCCGTTTATTGTTAAAAATCGTAAATTTTGTGAATGCGCCAATTCTTTAACGCGCTTATCCGTTAAAATTCCATAAAAGGCTTATATTGAAGTACGCTAAAATAGGTACGTTTGTAGTATAACTATTCGATACATACACAGGCCTTCAAACCCGAAGGTCTGGTTCACTTTGTCATGTACGGACACAATTGAAATGGATACAAACGAGAGGATGAAAGAAAACAAAACAGCTTCCGTGTGGGGTCGCCTGTATAATTAATTAATGTCGTTTGTTTGATCTGCCTAGGAGACATAAACAATCAATGATGTTTCGAATGTCCACATTGTTCTGCTCTGAGTGTTTCCTGCCTCCTGGATCCCTATTGTTATTTTATATATTTGCTCTTTTGTTATACCTGTCACATGCATGCTGTGACGATTAAAAAACCTTTTGTTTAATGATGTTTTTTTGTCTCGCACAATCTTTCTTTTTATGACTTTAGTATAATAAATTAATGCTGTGTTCGCTTGTTTTCAGTTTTTGTTGCTGTAATATGAGTTAATATATATGGTATTGTCTTTCAAATAACAAAACGAAATTGGGTCTTCATTTATTCCTTGTCCTGTTATTGTTGTTGTCTGATCGGTTCTTGCTATCTTTTCTGTTGTTTACGTCAACGACTTTTGTCGCCTTTACGTCAGGGGCTCTTGCCGTCTTACCTGTTGTTTACGTTATCGTCTCTTGCCGTCTTACCTGTTGATTACGTTATTGTCTCCTGCCGTCTTACCTGTTGTTTACGTTATCGTCTCTTGCCGTCTTACCTGTTGTTTACGCTGTCGTCTCTTGCCGTCTTACCTGTTGTTTACGTTATCGTCTCTTGCCGTCTTTCCTGTTGTTTACGTTATCGTCTCTTGCCGTCTTACATGTTGTTTAGGTTATCGTCTCTTGCCGTCTTACCTGTTGTTTAAGTTATCGTCTCTTGCCATCTTACATGTTGTTTACGTTATCGTCTCTTGCCGTCTTACCTGTTGTTTAAGTTATCGTCTCTTGCCATCTTACATGTTGTTTACGTTATCGTCTCTTGCCGTCTTACCTGTTGTTTAAGTTATCGTCTCTTGCCGTCTTACCTGTTGTTTACGTTATCGTCTTTTGCCGTCTTACCTGTTGTTTACCTCAACACTCTTGTTGTCTTTTCTGTTGTTTCCGTTTTCGTCTCTTGTAGGTTTTTCTGTTGTTTATGTCATCTGCTCTTTCTGTCTTTTTTTGGTGTTTGCGTCATTGGTTCTCGTTTATTATTTTTGTTGTTTACGTCATCGGTTTATGACGTGTTTCCCTGTTTTTATGCCACTGATTCGTTCTGTTTTTCTTACTGTTGTTAGTGTCCCCAAATCTATAATATCGTCCTCCTTTTTCGGCCTTTACCAAATATGACGCCATCGAATGTATGTTTCAACTGCAGATTAGGGTGGAAAATGTCATTTAATCAATTTTATTTCGGATTTAACAATATGCTTATGTTTGCAATCGTGAAATTATGTTCAGTTTGATCGAAGCAGTCTAGGCCAATAGTTTATACCTTTCCAAAAATATGAAATGGACACGGTTATCGGTATTTTCTTAAACAACTGCTCTTAACAGACTCTTGTGTTTTGTTTAGATTTTAGCTATGATCTTCGCAATATCCGGTATGGTGCTTTCTGCGTACGCAGGCGGTTTCGGATCTACTTCGATGTGGGGTGTAATTTTGTCTGCTGCGGCCTCCGCTACCATGTCCGTGTTTAAGGTAGGTCATGCGTACAACTTAACATACATGTAGGATCTTACATGATTTTCCATTTCATATGAGATTTATGAAACGAGTGTAAGAACTTTAGCTAAAATGAAAAATTCGTGACGAGTTCCATCAATTCCATATGAAATGAAAACGAATGTAAGATATTTTCTATCACAACATCAAGATTTGTGGCATTCATTCGTGTAAAACGACAAATTTCATGCAACATAGAAATGTAAAAAGCCGCCATTTTAATCCAGTACTAAGTCTGTGGCGACATGTACCTGTCCTAGGCGTGACGTCACAATTGTTATAATTGAAACTTAAAACCAAATCACAGGGCTGATGGGTCATATTACATGGCCTGGGTTAATGTGCAAAAATATGACATGTGTACAAACGAACTATTGCATGATCAATAATTAGAATTTTTGGTAAATATTGACACCTATAAAAGCATGTCTAGGTCGGCAGTCATTAGCTTTAAATCCTTATTACATCTGTTCCCATATTTCCATTATAAGGTCAGAAACGGCTGAGTGGAATGTAAAAAATGATATTTTCTATATAAAATACATTCATATCTCGACAAAACAGATAATTGTAAAACAACAACAAACACAAAAACAAAAAAACAAGAAACAAAACAGGAATTGGAGAATGTATATAGCAATACCAAAAAGTATTTACCATTTCTCACTGTTAACTTACCACTGTTCTCTTTTTCTTTTTTGATAGGTTTTATATAAGAAGTTTCTTGGAAGTCCTGACTACGGTCAAATTTCCTTTTTCACAAGTCTCATCGGTAAGTAAACTCGCACGATAACAACAGCCGCTATTTAACAACCTCCCTCTGTAAGTTTCAACGTTTACAGTGTCATTTTTCATTTCATTTCAGTTTTTTAAGATGACACAGTTAGGTTGGTTATGGCCGCTTCAGACAATCTTACCTAAGATAACACAGTGTTAATCGGTAATCAGCGCTACAAAGGACGCTGACTGTTTACATGACACATTGTGGGCTAGTTGTGACCGTTAAAGAGAACGCTAACCGTTTAGATGACACAGTGTAGGGTGGTTATGACCCTTACAGAGGACGCTAACCTAGGATGACACAGTGTAGGTTGGTTATAACCGTTACAGAGGACGCTTACCTATGAAGACACAGTGTAGGTTGGTTATGACCGTTACCGAGGACGCTTACCTAGGATGACACAGTGTAGGTTGGTTATGAACGTTACAGAGGACACTTACGGTTTAGATGACACGGTGTAGGTTGGTTATGACCGTTACAGAGGACGCTAACCGTTTAGATGACACAGTGTAGGTTGGTTATGACGCTTACCTAAGATGACACAATGTAGGTTGGTTATGACCGTTACAGAGGACACTTACGGTTTAGATGACACAGTGTAGGTTGGTTATGACCGTTGCAGAGGACGCTTACCTAGGAAGACGCAGTGTAGGTTGGTTATTGCCGCTAGTGAAGAACGCTTACCCCAGATGACACAGTGTAGGTTGGTTATGACCGCTAGAGAGGACGCTTACCTAAGATGATATACTGTGGGTTGGTTATTGCCGCTATAGAGGACGCTTACCTCAGACTACACATTGTATGTTAGTTTTAGCCGTATCAGAGGACAAATAACAAATGTGTAGCATTTGTCAACAACAAATACAATTTGTTTATTCCTATGTTAATAAGATGTTTATCAATATGTATAGATAGGATCTTACTTGAATTTTCATTTTATATGAAATTTATGAAATGAGTCTGAGAATTTTAAACTTGTGACGCGTTTCATAAGTTCCATATGTATGAAAACGAGTGTAAGACCCTTTTTATCACATAATCAAGATTTGTGGCATTTATTCGTGTAAAACGACAATTGTCATGCAACGTTGTAAAAAGCCGCCATTTTGACTCCAGTGCGTAATATGAGTCTGTGACGCCATGTACTTGTTCTAGGAGTGACGTCACATTTGAAAATTACAACCAATCACATGGCTGATAGGTCATATTACATGGGTTAATACGCAAAAAAACATGACGAGGTATATTCATTGGGTAAAACACATTACATAATGTGATGAAATGTAGTTGATTCTGGTTCTTATCAATCATATTTGTTTTTTTTCGTTAACAGGTGTTGGGAACGTATTATGTATTTGGCCAGTGCTGCTAACTTTATGTTTGACGAAGACAGAACTGATCACATACGAGATAATTCCCTGGGGTTACATCACAGGGTCATCCATCTCTGTCTGTGGTACGTGTGGGAGTGATGTGAATGGATTATCTCTCATCATTAAAGCAACCGTGACATTGTTTGTACATAATTCTTTAAGGATTCCTGTTCCACTGCAGACAAATCACCAGCTAATGTTTAGTATATGTAAACCCCCTTTAGTTTCGTTTTAGATATATCTAGCGTGACTTGGCCAGGGTACAACCAATGACCATGAAGTTCAAGTTTGTTAGAGGGACAGTAAAATCATCGAAGGTCCGGGTTTGTAATCCTGGTCTGACCTTCTAAAGCAGCATAGCAGCATCTCAATAAAGTCATAGTAACCTCTCAAACAGCCTAGTAACCTCTCAATAAAGCCATAGCAACCTCTCAAACAGCATAGCAACCTCTCAAACAGTATATCATCCTCTCAATAAAGTCATACATGTAGCAACCTCGCAATAAAGCCATAGCAACCTCTCAAACAGCATAGCAACCTCTCAAACAGCATAGCAACCTCTCAAACAGCATGGCAACCTCTCAAACAGCGAAGCAACCTATCAAAACAGCACAACAACCTCTCAAAACAGCATATCAACCTCTCAAACAGCATAGCATCCCCTAAAGCAGCATAGCAACCCCTAAAACAGCATAGCAACCCCTGAAAACAGAGGGGAAAACAGTATAATAACATCTTAAAGCAGCAAAATATTATTTCAAACAGCATTACAATATCTCAAAAATGCATAGCAACTTCTCCAATCACCGGCATATCTACAAAACGCTTAAATACCTCTCAAACGGCATCATATCTCAAAACAACATAACATTCACTCAATCAGCTTAAAACCCCTCAAAAGTATAAAACATCGATTTGAAACAGCGTAACAACTTTTCAAAAAGGCATTTTATCTCTAGCAGCACAACAACATCTCAAAACAACATAGAAACCTCTCAAACAGCACTGCAATCTATTCACATTGACAGCACAGCCACTCCATCAGCATATTCACATTGACAGCACAGCCACTCCATCAGCATATTCACATTGACAGCACAGCCACTCAATCAGCACAGCATATTCACAGTGACAACACAGCCACTCCATCATCATATTCATACTGACAGCACAGTCACTCCATCAACATATTCACATTGAAAGCACAGCCACTCCATCAGCATATTCACATTGACAGCACAGCCACTCCATCAGCATATTCACATTGACAGCACAGCCACTCCAACAGCATATTCACATTGACAACACAGCCACTCCATCAGCATATTCACATTGACAGCACAGCCACTTCATCAGCATATTCACATTGACAGCACAGCCGCTCCATATTCACATTGAAAGCACAGCCACTCCATCAGCATATTCACAATGACAGCACAGCCACTCCATCAGCATATTCACATTGACAACACAGTCACTCCATCAGCATATACAGCACAGCCACTCCATCAGCATATTCACGTTGTCAGCACAGCCACCCAATCAGCATATTCATGTTGTCAGCGCGGTCACCCAATCTAGTATAAAAACATTTCAGAACAACAAAACAAACTCACAAACCAGGACAACCTGTGTAGGTTGTCTTGTCAATAACCACATTCTCTGATGAAACTCTAAAGAGGTGACGGCACTAGGGAATTACTAAGAAACTTGTTGTGTCATGACTATTTATTTAACCAGTACACAGATTTTAAATGAATTTTGTATCACAAAAACTATATATAGATGTATACATGTTTTCATGAATAGTACACAATCCATGACGTAGGTTGTCGGAGAAACGTCACAGTTACCTACATACGTCACTACAAATAAAACAACTAATAGAATAAACAATCAACAAATTAGGTAAACAGCGATACATCCTTATATTTCACACAAACAGACGACGCTTCTCAATAAACAGGCAACCGTGAAGAACGTTTACTATCAGAAGCGAGCCGAAAATAATTTGTCAAATAACACAATTGAAAATGTTATATGATGTGACTTATTCAATATCCATGCGATATATTTCAGACAAATCTGCCCTTGGAGTTTTTTACTACTTCTACACTACCTTTAACGGCACTTTAAACATGTTTACCCTATTAAATCGCCAGATAACCTCCCCTTGTCAGAGTGACTTAAGGATTCTCGTGCCACTGTCGAAACTTTAACTTAGTACTGAATGACACGAAATCTTCGTCGTGTATAAACATTCGTGGTTTTCATGGATATCATTGAACCACGAAAATAGATTCAACGAATTTGAATGATATAAAGTATGTACTGTTTGTTAATAGATATCATAATGACTTCAAACCACGAAGGAAATCACCCACAAACAGTTCGTGTCCTACAGTATTGGAAACTGTTTTTTCGGCACTACTATAGCCCTGACACATCATTTCTAAAAGGAAAACCTTGCAGGGTTTTTATGAAAAATAATGTAGATGATATAAACAAAATATAATCACCGTAAATGTTCTGATTGTCAAATCAAACTCAGTGGGACCAGACCGGGATTCGAACCCTTAACTTCAGATTGTGATAATATCGATGTAGTCCACTGAGTCACGTGATCAGCGGAAACGTATCGGCCCGAATGCCCTATAGTTATATCCAAACAGAAGTTAAGGACTCGCACAACTAAATCATTTACTATATGTTGCTACTAAGCTTTTGAGCTTATAGCGTTAATATTTGAAGTTCAACACTAGTGACAACTGTCTAGATTCACAGATACATATCTAACAAAGGCTTCAAAAGGCATTTTGGTGAGTTTAGTGACATAAAAGAGCGCTACAGGCATCTGCTTCTGACAACCAGAAGTTTCAAGCCAAAACGGTGAATTGGGACGGTAGCAACCCGCCATCACATATTAAAATCTACTAAAACTATTCATTTTTCTAAAGTTCAATTTCTGTAGATTTCATTCAATGTAAAAGATGTCAACGACTAAAGTTATATCCAAACGGAGGTTAAGGGGAGGTTAAAGTATAAAGGGGAAACTGGCAGTGCAGTGGGACAGGGATCCTTAATGCAGTGTAAAATGTGCATCTCGGAGGTCTTTATGCAAGACTGTTGTATGACCGCTAGCTATAGCTTTACTGATCCCAGTGATTCACCACTGACCAAACAAACGTCATAACAAATGAAGAATTACTATTTAATTTTGTCTATAGTACTACTCTAGTGTACAAAACACCATTTTTTTTCTAAATTTATCAAACAAGCATTCATTAAATATAAAATGACAAACAAACTACGTTGTATTCCTGGGTAAATAGTTTTGAAATATCAATATTAATATTTGTAGTGTAAATTTAATGAGGCTTAAATAATAAGATATTTCAGTGTTACAATGATATGTATTCAAAAACCTTATAAACGCGTAACACAGCATCTACTGTTGAAGACATTAGCCTGCTGGTACAGTAGTCGACTGGCTGATACTGTATATAGCTCACTACAGTGGTACTCTTTACACAGTAAATTACCTTCTGCCGATACAGTAATGAACTTGCTGATACCATTAATAGCTGGCAATAATGGTACAATGTACTCCTGATATAGTAAATAGCTTTCTGCTATAGAAATTAGCCTGCCGATACCGTACAAAGCTTGCTGATCATCATCATCAAAAACAACAGCATCGTCAAATAGTAATGTCACAACTCATCAACATCATCATCGTCTTCGTGATTCCAAATCACCATCATCATCATCATCATCATCATCATCATCATCAACATCATCATCATCATCATCATCATCAACAACACAAGTAACAGTATCAGCATCAGCAGCAGCAGCAGCAGCAGCATCAGCATCATCATCATCATCATCGTATTTAACCTGCTGAATATGCTTGCTGGTGGCTTTCTATAGTTGTTTACAGCAAATGGCCTTCAGATGTATCAATAACATTGTATAATGACACGGTTAGTAACCTGTTAATGGAATAAGTAACTTGCTGAATTCTAATACAATGAATTACTTGTTTTTATGGCGTTGTTTCTCTTTACAGTCCTGCATATGCTTTTACACTACGTCGAACCGGCGTTGTATGACGTGTTCATAGGTTTGGGTTTCCTCCTTGGAATCTTCATGAGTGCATGTAAGTTTTTAGTGTGAAAAAATATTTTTTAAACATTAAACCAAATGCCTACTATTTTCATTCGTATCCTCAAGCCCTTTAACTTCAACTTAAACGGTTAACTTTCAACTGATATAACACGTTATAAACACTACAGCCTAATTCCAAAAACACTAGTTCAACTGGCTTCAACTACACAATTGTTGACGTCACGACGACTGCTTTCTTAAATCACCAACTAACATTCTCATTTACAAACTACCTCATTTACCAGCCGCAAACGGTATCCCAAAACCAATTATCCACAACTTTAACCTACACCTCAAATTAACCCTAGTCCAAGTCCTAGCTCTTATCTCAAGACTACCAATTTCACTCCACATCACTCTTTGTACAATAGAAGCCTATACATTACTGTATTGCATATCCCCGATGCAATAACTTTATTACTCAATCATAACCACTAAGTAATGATTACTGTTGAACTACTCACCTTCGGATACTCTCTAGGTCTTAGTAAAATCTGTGCTACAAAGCCGTTTATTGGGTTTATAATATTTATTTTATCTACACAGTTGTCGACTACATATGGCGAGGGATACACTTCAGTGGGATGGAGGTTGCTGCGGTTATATTGACTTCATTCGGCATTCTCCTAGTGTCCCTCCCCGATCAGTGTCCGACCGACTTCAGCACAGTGACCACATGGTGTCGACGTAGAAAAAGATGTGATGTCCGTGGCACGGCCCAGCCACAGAATGACACGCAGGGCTCAAGATGGCGACGGACCACGAAAATATGATGATCTGGACAAAACAGTGGTCACATAGTGTCGAAGTCGAAAAGATGTGATGTCCGTGGCTCGGTTGCAGCCAACAAATGACACACAGGGCTCAAGATGGCGACAGACCACAAAAACGTGATAAGCTGAACAAGACAGTGGTCACATGGTGTCGACGTCGAAAAGATGTGATGTACGTGGCTCGGTGCAGCCAAAATGACACGCAGGGCTCAAGATGACTACGGACCACAAACACGTGACGAGTCAAACAATTACTTGCCAATTAATGTACATGACTCGAGTTTGTCAGAGAACTTACAGAAAATAACCATAAAAGCATAAAAAATAAATTTCAAAAAGACAATTCTAAAATCTACCCATATACTGTTTAGGCCAAATGATTGGTGATGTTCAATTATTTAAGAATGTAAAATATCTTTTGTGTTGTATAAAATAGAATTGCCTCATATAACGCGAATTGCATTTTTTGCGTGTTAACTTCAAGCAACGTATTCCCGAACATTGTTTTCAGTTTCAAATGATTCTTATCATAAAAGCTATGTTTATTTCGCAAAGATTTGTATCTACCAATTTTATATCTATCTACCAAGCACATCAACCTCCCAATCTTCCAAACAAGATATATACATATCTATCTTTTGTATATAGACAGATGTACATTAGCAAAAAAAACATTGTCCGTAATGTTTCAGAAATTCTTAAACATGCAAATAGAAAAAAATTTAGGAATAACACTTATGTTATCATTGTTATGACGCATGCCGCATACTTTATTTAGATTTGTGTTGTTAAATATTTCTATGTTTTTCATAAGTTCTCGCATGGTGCATACTTTAAATTGCCAATCAGCATTACTTTAGTGTATTCTATAGCACAGTTCCTATATTTCTAGAGGTGTAGTGAAAACAGGGACGTAACTCGAATGCAATTGCATAGTGTTTTTTTCTCAAAAAGAGTGGTAATTTGTTAAATATTATATTTATTTTTGTATGAAATGAGAGATGAATTGACTGTTGGTACATTAAACTCGCATGATGTTATTTATTGGAAATATTTGTTTCTGTGAAAATGCATAGGTTGAACATATATATGTATACATTAACTTATCTGTTTATAAATGAAGTATTNTGATGAAATATTAAACAGTGTCAACAAACAAGGATGAAATATATCACAGTGTCAACACACATGGATGAAATATATCACAGTATCAACAAACAAGCATAAAATATTAAACAGTGTCAACAAACAATGATAAATATTAAACAGTGTCAACAAACAAGGATGAAATATATCACATTGTCAACTAACAATGATGAAATATTAAACAGTGTCAACAAACAATGATGAAATATTAAACAGTGTCAACAAACAAGGATGAAATATATCACAATGTCACCAACAAGGATGAAATATATCACAGTGTCTACATAAAAGAACTATTTTATTTATTGTTTCACAGCGACACAAAGGAAACTATATTCAATTGTCAACTATAAAGGGCAAACTACATACAAATGTATATCACAATAAGACATCACACTAGGCAAATGTATTATAGTGTCGACAGGCCAGAAATAATATCACAATGAATACTTATGAAACCAAATTCGACACCAACATACATAAGTTTGGTTTCATAGCGGCAACAGCTGTTTTCCATTTAAAAGTTCTTCGATTTTTTTCCGTCATAATGTAATTGTAATCCGAAAGATTTCTGATGGATGCCTGACAACAACGGTAGCCATAGAAACACGAATGTTCCCACAATATGGCTCTTTCAGCATTTGTTTTAACAATTTGAATAAAGTGTATGATGAAGCTTAAAACCTACTTCCCTGGAAGATAAAACATACAATCTCTCCTTTTCAATGTCAATGCAGAGACTGAACTGTTTATCTATAACATTTTGACGGTACGAAACACTGCTGCTCACAAACGTTTTCTATAAAGCGCGGTTATGGAAAACGTTTCTGAAACTTGATTTCAATTCATCATGAATGGACTCATTGTATCAAATGTAATATAGCCAAGTTTGAATTGATGATACATGTACATATATAAACATTTTAAACAGATTCACAAAAATGTAAAAACATCAAATATACTAGCGTTAAGCTGACACTGCTTCCACGCCAATGAATTAGAGGTAAAATTGTATAATCATTGCAAAGGGCCTGTTTCCAGTAATGTTAATTCTCCATAGGAGCCTGCCCCCGTATAATTTCTTATCTAGCTCAACTACTGTTTTTTTCTTTTCCGAAGAATAATTTTACACCTTTCCGACACCCAGATTTCATAATTTCAGTGAAAATGTATTTTTATAAAGTTGTCAATTTCAGCATCAAAGACATAAGTTCGTAAATAAAAGAAGGTTATCTCGAAATTGTAATTCGCAACATAGTATAAATTTCTTTTGATAAATATTTCCAAAACATCGTGTTTATTCATAAAACATAAAAAAAA